CTAATATTCTTTTATAAAAATCTTGTAATTCTTTCATTGTTCTAAAAGTGTTATCAAGTTGTGTTTTTTTCATATCTAAGATCAATTGTTTGACTGACACATAACAGATGAAATGTGATCAACAGTGAGACCTAGATCTCGCATTTCGTCCTATTCTGGGCTCTTCGGCTGGATGGATTGATGTCCACTCCAGTATTCAAACCTATCACCTTTCACTCAAAACACCTAGACGTCATCCACTTAGCTACTGAGTCCAGATAGCCTGTCACTTGTACAACAGGTATGAATTGTTTTAGTCTAATTTCTACTAATTTGTATCATTCCGTTATTGATAATTTGTAGAATTTCGATTAATATTAGTTAGCATATGTGTATTCTGCGTGCACATATGCACATAAGCATATATACCAAATAAGAAGTGGTTTGAACTCCACTGGTAACTGCTTCTCACTAGAACTCCTGGAAATACTTCTTCAGGGACGAAACGGCCGTCCAGTGCTTCCAGGTTTTCCATGTTGTTCTAGCTTCAATTGACTCACGCTTTCAACTATGAAAATACTAAATCTCCACAAAACCCCTTCTGATAATAATAATAACAATAATAATCATATGCTCACTAGTGACTGACTTCGAGAGGTAAATCCAGGAGTTCTAGTGAGAAGCAGTTACCAGTGGAGTTCAAACAGGTCTGTTGTGAGATATCAACTCACTGAAGACAATTGGTGAATGGTTGCTCAGTTTCGAGGATTGGTTGGAATTAAACATAAACACCATGGGATGCTGACTAGCTCAGTGGTCTATCGGTTAAGTGCTCTGGCGCGATACTGGTAGGTCCTGGGTTCGAATCTCGCGCGACGGGATCGTGGTAGCGCACTGCTGAGATGTCCCACAATAGGGCGAGTTGGCCGTCCACTGCTTCCAGGTTTTTCATGGTGGTCTAGCTTCAATTGACTCACGCTTTCAACTATAAATTACAATATTCAAAATTGAATTAAATCACACTACAAAAAACAACTCACTAATAAAGATACTTTAATTGTCCCCCCAAGAAAAAAATTTTTTTTTTATTTTCCAATTCATTTTAGAATTTTTTCAAAATAGTAAATTTTCATTTCCATAAAATAAACGAAAATTAATTTTCTCAATCTAAAATATGATTTTGTGATTCTTACGTAACTTTTTTTCTCGATTTTTTTTATTATAAGGATGGAGAGGGGAAACAGTAGAGCGTATTTTTAAAAAAAATATCGACTAAAGTATTTATTTTTAACCCCCTATTTGATTGCGTGTATACCATAGAAAGTAATTTCCCTTCATAAGATTTGCATTATAATTTATGAAGTATTTCAAGCAAAATTTTTTTTTAAATAAGTATATTTAATGTAAAAACCTTCCTGTATATCAATCACATAGAATTAAATGAAGAACTTATGATTTCATTTCTATCTTGTATCAAAATAGCAACTAGAAACAACTAGGAAGGACTGTGTCAGGACAGATTTGGATGGAGAATGTTGGTGGGTGACCAATGCTCCTCCACGAAGGGTAACAGGTTTAAATTACCATTTTTTTCCCATACATATTTTAGAAACGGAACATTTAAATAAACTATTCTTCTAATTTTATATTTATTTTAACATATATAGAAATATAAGATTGATTATGAAGTGATCAACTCTTCAATTATGCTAGTTTCAAGTAATCATGGTTATCGATTAGCATGGTAAGCAAAGATGGATAGTAGCTAGCAGTGGAATCCAGTTTGACGAGCGTTTCTTCCTATTTGGGACTCGTCAGCTGGATGTACCTGCATCTCAGAGTTGATGTTCACTCTGAGACTTGAACCCAGTTCAATGTAATCATTTAGATTATTTACACAGTATAAATGTGAACATAGTCAAAACTGCTTATAACTCAGTCGTAGAATGTAAAAATAGCTCGACAATCAAATGTAATTTTATCCAATTAAGTATTGATGCTCCTACTGAAATTCAAAGCCAGAATTATTTATCGTCTTCACAATTCAAAGCGTTACTTGGATACTGAATTACAAGATTATCCTTATCGGTTGTGTATTATTTACCACTGAAACTCCTATTTAAATTCATTAACACAGTGAGTGAATGAGTGAGTGGATAAATGAGTGATTAGTCTTAACTAGTATATGGGATATTTGTAAGGATTCATTAAGTCAAAATGAAATATAAATTGAATAATTCACAAACAATGTTTTGATAACCATATAATCAAGAAAAAAGCATTGCCAGTTTATGACGTATTCATCTATACCCAGTTGAAAACATCTCTGTTTCTGTCACTAACTACTTTAAATTGAAACCTATAATGTTATATTTGTATTTCGCTGATAAGAAACTTTCATACTGGTGATTCTAGGTGAAAAACCTTTAACTAAATAGGGATTATATATGTGTCAAAGACTATCTGTATTTTGATATGATTGGAAGTTTTCATCTATTGACTTTAATATTCCATTTACTAGCACCTATCCACTTGACAATAATTAATATAAAAAGTCATGCGAAGAGAACAAAATAATCTCATTTTGACTGCTTTTCACAGTTGAAATCATGAGTCAATTGAAGCTAGACCACCATAGAAAACCTGGAAGTACTGAACGGTCGTTTCGTCCTACTATGGGACTCCTCAGCAGTGCGCATCTACGATCCTGCACTTGCGAGATTCGAACCTACCACTCTCGCTTCAAAAGTACTAATAAACATGAAAATCACTTAATGAATTCATGAATGTACTGTTTATACATTTCTGTCAGAAGTAGATAATACATAGACTAACAAAATTTATCCAGTTAGTGATTAACTTAACTTCAAGCTTTTAAATATCTAAGTATTTCAATTGTTCCGCTTTGGGTACTCTTTACTGAAACTTGGTTAGCCTTTGTCAATAAGTGTATATCTTACGTAAATAAACTAGATATAGCCATATAGAATAGAATATACTGGACATATACTGAATATATATTTTTTGTTGACATTTGCTTTGAATTCTCAACGATCATCCATTTTTAATTAAGAACTTAGTTGGAAAGAAAAATAATGAAATATTAATATTTTACCGAACACTTCTTGAAATGATCAACTATCGATTTGAATGAATTGAGAAAATTTAAGCATGATTAAATACATTTCAAATTTACTAACATAAATTCATTCTAAAGGGGTTTTGTGGAGATTTCAGTATTTTCATAGTTGAAATCATGAGTCAATTGAAACTAGATCATTATGGAAACCCATTCTGATTATAATCATATGCTCACTGAATTCAAGATACATGTCCTGGAGTTCTAATGGGAAGCAGTGATCAATAGAGTTCAATCACGTTTGTTGTGAGATAACAACTCACTGAAGACAATTGGTGAATGGTTGCTCAGTTTCGTGGATTGGTTGAAGTTAGACATTAACACCGTTGAATGCCGGCCGGCTCAGTGGTTTATCGGTTAAGTGCTTTGGCGCGAGACCGGTAGGTCCTGGGTTAGAATCTCGAGAGGAGGGATCGTGGATGCGCACTGCTGAGGAGTCCCATACTGGGATGAGTTGGCCAACCAGTGCTTCCAGGATTTCCATAGTGGTCTAGTTTCAATTGACTCATGATTTCAACTATAAATTCATTCTATTTTTGATTAGGGATACTCAGTATCTATTGATGTCTGGCTGTTGAATTCGTATACTTCGTTCAATTATCTCGTTGTAAATAGGAAAACTTTTAACAGGATAAACTGATAAAATACAGTATCAAGTCATAAGTTGTAAAGTATTTAGCCAAAAAATAATCATTTTCAACTATACCCATTGAATATAATAGAATCATCTATGAATTTACAATCTGGTGTAGGAATCAAATTGAATCAAATTCAACGTTTTTGTTTATTCATTTTTAAGATCAGCCCACCAACTGGTTTAATCTATTTGTTCTACAATCATAAAAGAACTATTTGAATGATTTTGTTTCATTCTAAATAATGTAAACATTGAAAGAATATAATATATGAAAATCTTTGAAACGGATTAGAATTTTACTATTACACTTTAAGTTTTCATCCCATTTTAGTGGTTAAAATAAAAAATGTCGTTCTACTTATGGTTAAACAATTTTCTTTCAAAAATCAATGTTTATATGTTTCATTATAGGAAACAAATTTTGTATTCGATGTATATTTCACCTTCTTATGGAGACCATAAATAGGTCAAAGCTAAACAATTATTGAAAACCTAGAAGGATTGGGTAGCCATTTTATTCTAAAACGGGACACATTGAATTCTGACTCAGTGGTCTAGAGGTTAAGGGTTCCCACGAGAGACCAGAGGTTTCATGATTGATTCCTAGTGATAGCATCCCATACTAGGACACGATAAACGTCAAGTGCTTACGCATTTTGATTGGTGTCTGACCTAGATCCGTTCATGATCACAATAATATTCAAAAATCCTGACAGCCTCTATACTGGAAACTTATTTTAAAAACCAGAAGTCATGTGTTAATGAGTTTAAAAATAAATGTAGAAACTGATGATGGAAGTTACTGGATAAAATTTGTATCCAATCATTTCTCATAAAAAAAGTTACTTAAAAAAAACTCAGAAAGGGGTTTTTGTAAAGTTTTAGTATTTTCATAGTTGAAAGCGTGAGTCAATTGAAGCTAGACTACCAGGGAAAACCTGAAAGCACTGAACTGCCGTGTCGTCCTATTGTGCACATTGCTGAGGAGTCCCATAATAGGACGAAACGGTCTTCCAGTGCTTCCAGGTTTTCCCTGATGGTCTAGCTTCAATTGACTCATGCTTTCAACTTAAAAAACTAAAAAAAATCTTTTTTTTAATTTTGAAATTCTTTCAACTTATAAACTTGGATTTGATTGGTTAATATTTTTACAGCTGATTACAATTTGATTGGACAATGGTTATAACATACATACAAACAAATTGGGGAAAAAAATCATCTTTATAAATACAGTAGTTATTATTATTTAGCTCGTGTACTGTTAAAATGTTCTTATTACCATGGATAAAATGAACTCATCAAATAATTGATCAACCATAGCAACAATGAAACATATAAATAGGCACAATTTTCATTTGGTTACTAATATTAGTGAATATGAATTATACTGACTGTAGGATAAAATTAATTCATTAATCATTTTCTTTAAATTACGTAATCAAAAGAGAATTATTAACCAATCAGATAATGAGAGGATTTGATTACCAATCAGTGAATGATTGATTTATCATTACTATTACTACTTATATATGAGGTAAAACAATATTAGATTGAATGATTAGGTTGTTTACTATCTTTTATTAATAATTTGAAATGATGCTACATTGAAACATTGAAAAGAATTTAACTATCGAAGTATACACTTACAATTTTGTAATGGATATTATTATAAATTTTCAAAGTCAATTAAACATTAGAAACTTTTTATGTAATGGAATTTGTTATATCAATTAAACATAAAACTAAATTATCTTTTAACTGATTGATACCTTGGATGTAAATAAATAAACACAAGGACTACAACTTTCTTTAATCATGTAAGTAAATTTTCATTCTTTCTGTCGTTTAGTATTCCATGAGTTTTTGAAATGAATATATATTTTCTTAAACGATAATCATTGAATGACATTTCTTTCCTTTATAAAATTAACAGTCTTTGTATGCTGTCGAAAAAGTATATTCGATATGGATTAATACCTTTGTTAATTTATGAATCTTCTATTGTTCCTAATTAGTCAGTCAGTCTTGAGTGCTGTTAGAGGTATGAGGGCGGTTATCACTTCCCGATTGCCCACACCGTGGAAGAGTTCTTCTAGAGGAACCTGAAAAGGAACTTAGGTTAGAGTTGATCCTAGTAACCTGAGAGTGTAACCCTAGTGCCCAAAGGAAAACTGATTGAAGGCGGTCACACACGGCCTTCCTGTGAGTAATTTTTATGTTAGCCCCGTACTTGTTCAGACCTTACCTCTGAATAAGGGAATCTGTGACATAAGGTGAGGTGTACATTTTTAGGGTCGACAAAAGTTCTAACCCTACAACTCCTTGTGAGATGGCAGTATCTCTGTTATGCTGGTTGTCTGAAGGGAACACCTTACTGCCGTCACACCTCTGTACGACTTCGCCTTCGAACCTTATGTTCGCTGCTTTTAGTATTACCATTCTTCAATCTACCTGTCTGGATTGGTAGGACCTTGAGGAACGATTGTTCCAGCTAGTGTAGCTCAATTGGTTCATTATGTTAGGCAAACCCGATCACCTTGTCAAGATAGAAGCAACAGTCGAGTGCTCTTAGTTAAGAGTAAATGCAAGAAACACATTTCTAGTTTGCGAAATTCTGATGAAGTACTAAACAAAAAATGAATCTGCCAGTATAATGCATGTATTTTAAGATTTCTTAAACAATATTTCACAACTTCACTTAGAATTGTTTGTTTGAACCCTTCCATTTATGTTTTTGGACTGCAACTGGACAGTTTCTAATTGGCATATGTGCTTACTGTGTGTATTGCCTCGAAATAACCTGAATTCACAAGCATTGTAAGCAAATACGGATAGTGGCTAGCAGTGAACATCAACTCTGAGATGCAGTTACATCCAGCTAACGAGTCCCAAATAGGACGAAACGCGCGTCAAACTGGATTCCACTTCTAGCCACTATCCATCTTTGCTTACCAATATTTCACAACGTTCGTTAGGTACAAATAAAATACTGTAAACAACCATTCATTTCAGTAAAGATTGAATGACAATTATAATATCGGATTAACTCAGTTATAGGAAATTGTATTTTAAATTTGCACCCATTACCCATCAATTGCCATTCAAGTATTATGTTCGTCTCCAGGATATTAGAATTATGTCATAAAATTACTCTCCATAGGGTTGTATATCTACATTAAAATGTATAGAAAGATATATTTCAAAAGTAAAAACTATTCAACCTAATAAATTAGGCAATAAATACTGACTCATGAATAATATACACAATCATATATTTTTTATTATATTTTTCAAGTCTACTGATTAATAATTCAAATATAAGTAGTATAATGGAATAAATAGATTATGACTGATTACCATTTGTAATATAGTGATAATAATCATAATATCGATGGTATATATCGTAAATACGTTAGTCAATGATCAATAAACATATGAATTTTATATCATACATAATACTATTATAAACATTCTGGTTGTGTTCCCTTTTTTTTCTCTCTCTCCCTTTTGGATAATAAGGAGAAAACAAATTACCGTTTTTATTGTTGTTACTTCTTAAAAAGAAAAAAGAAAATTAGTTTGGATAATAAAAATTTACTCAAATGACACGTGTCTCATTCAACTTTTATTAATTCAAGTGTTGGATTGGGAATATCACATTTAGCACATAAGTATAGGCGATATATAATTATGTCAAATAAAAACTAGACAAAAGTCATAATAAGAATTAGTCTTTTGTTCGATTGGATATATTTATCAAAGGAAATAAAATCTAAAAATGGATAGTGACTAGCAACGGAGTGAAGGATACGCGTTTCATCCTATTTGGGACTCGTCAGCTAGATGTACCTGCATCTTAGAGATGATGTTTACTTAACCAAACAATACCAAGTGAATATAAACTTCACTTCACTGCACAAACAAGTGGCTATTAGAAATCACTGGTTAAGTGGATAACGCAATAGCGTTTGAAGCGAAATGTACTGGATTCGAGTCTCAGAGTGAACATCAACTGTGAGATGTAGGTACATCCAATTGACGAGTCCCAAATAGAACGAAACGTGCGTCCTGGAATCCATTGCTAAACACTATCCATCTTTGCTTACAATGCTTGGGAATCAAGGCTATATCGAGGCAATACACGCACAGTATGCACATATGCCAATAAGAGACTGACCAGTTGCAGTTCTAAACATCAATGGGAAGATTCAACCAAACAATACCAAGTAAACTTGATTAAATGTAGATTTTGTTGTGAACACATTAACCTTAGAAGTCATGTTTTTAATCTTGAATACTTGAATACTTAATGAACTTGAATGTAATATATTTAATGTTTAATTATGAAAAGTGAATAATATGCTTTAAGGAACGAGTACACTGCACAGCAGTTTGCTCTGTTCTACTTTACTGCTGCAAAACGTACCCATTAAGAGTAGAACATACTCGTAAGCTACTAGTATTTGATCACGGATGTCTTAAAAATATTGCTCACATCTGCTGGGATCACCGGGTAAGTAATAGTGAGGTTAAATACAGGGTATTAGGGAATGATGGTAAATCAGTTGAGGTTGTGAATCTTCATTGACTGAGATGGTTGGACCACGTATTGCATATGCGTGAACACCGATTACCACGACGCGCGATGCTGACTGGTATTGGGGATGGTTGGAAGAGAGTTAGGGGCGGCCAAACCGAAACGTGGCATCAGTCCACAAAGTTACTAACTTCTAGTCTGATTCATGTTGGTAGATGCAGAATACTTGGTTGAGGTCCGCGTGACTATCGTAACCAATGGTTGGAGACTGTGTGTGACAAGACTCAGAATCGATCACAATGGAGCAGGTGTATACATTCCCTTAAACTATGAGATTAAAATTGCTCCATATCTTCTTTTCTTCCTGTACTATATCCTTATACACAATTTTTCTTTTGTATATTACCACCATTAAATTAACTACCTCTATGAATTCGGTATTTATCTTGTTAAGCTAATGAGGTAATGTCAACTTGGACTGATACATATATATGCCTGGTCCTACGTTTGTAGCTGGCTGCCTGATACATTGTAATGACCTTTCACTGAATATCATAATATCTTATTTTATTCTAATTTATGTGGGGAAAACTATTAGCTTTCGTAGAAAATTTCCAGAGTTCTAGGGAGAACCTGTGACGAGTTCAACCCACTCCGTGTTAGGTGTGAAGCATTTGGCAATTAAAGTAGGAGATGGTCGTACAGTATCGTGGATTGAATGAATTTGAAAATTAATATGGTTGGATAAGGCTCAATGGTCTAGAGGTTAGACGTTCACGCCCGAGACCATAAGTCTCAGGTTAGATTACTCATTCGGAGTCATGAATACACATTGCTAAAGAATTCTATACTAGAACGAAACAACCGTCCAGTGCTTTGAGGCTTTGAATATTGGTATAACCTCCATTATTCACTGTTTTATCTTCTTTTAGCTGTTAATTCTTTTGGTTTACTCCCTTGTTATATTGTTATAAAATGTGGTAATTTCTATTTATGTCCAAAGGTTAATGATAATAGTTAGATGAGTAGTTATGTATGTATAATTACTGGGTAAGCATTTACTAATCAGATCAATTTATCTAAGATTAATGATGCAATCATTGTGATTATTTTTCCTTTAAAACAAACTACTTCACTCAGTTTCTTTCGTAATCCTTCTTTTTTTTAAAAAGTAGTTCTTATGAATAGAATTAGTTGAGTAGTAGAAACAATCAAATAATTGAGCACTTAATATAATTAAAAAAAATTGTCTGAAGTTTTGTTGATGAGTTCATAGAATTGGTTAGATCTGATAAATCATTGTTAATAATGTAAATATTATTAGACTAAGAAAAATATTATTTTCTTCTAAGTAATAGGTGTTGACTATTTAATTGCAATCTTCAGGATTATCGCAATCAGTGATAAAGGAATTTAGTAGGTACATTCACATTTCGTTTTCTCTTAGAACATAAATCCCGAAATCTCTAGAATTAGCTTTGAGATAATTCTATCTCGCTGTACAACTGTGATTTGCCGACTTGAACCGAAGCACGCATGTCAGTTTCTAAGTTGCATATGACTAAATGATGGATCGTTCATATTCCTTGATACTGGTTATATGAATAACAATATATCCACTATTTGTCTTACTTTAAATCATCGAATTTTCCAGAACATATATATCCCTTATGTTTTGCTTGTCTGTAATAAATGCTTTTCGTTTATTTGAATAATTCTATAATATTCACTTACTCTTGAACATCCTTCGAAATACATATACCAAATACTATAATCTAGAATAATAAGTGATTATGCTATATTTAATATGCTTCTGTTATTTACTCTATATATGAATATCTTATGGAGGCTGTTAAAATCACATACACATAACCAACTAACAGAGAACTAAATGTGTTTACTTTAGTTAATTGTTTTATTTGCTTCCTATTTGGACCATTTGACTTAAATCAGTAAGTTTCGAATTCGAATCATCCTACACTAACTAAATATTTGATATCTGAGTAGTATCACTAGCCTTCTTGTAAACGATGGCGCTTAAAACTAAGTACGAGAGTATGTAATCGACAAATGAATTACTTCGAGTTCTCAAATACCAGTCAGTCAGCTACAACGTAGAACCAGGCATATACATGCATTGGTTCAAGTTGCCATACCTCATTAGCACAACAAGATCGACACCAAATTTATAGTAGTTAATTTAGTGGTGGTAGTATATAAAAGATAGGTTTAATATCAGGATATAGCATAGAAAGGAAGAAATTTATGAAGCAATTTTAA